AGGACGTTCAAGCCTGAACCTAACACTTGAATACATATGGGTCTCTGTTTTTTGAGGGTACCCCTTTTTGGGGTTGATTTAAAAAGGGACAGCAAAAGGAAAGCACCATTTTTTTCGAGGTCCCCCTGTTTTGAGACAAACCTAGAATATGGTCCGTCACTTCTCAAGGGCAAAAATGTCTCTTTTACCAAGCCAACTCATCCTTCACTGGTGCTTCCCATTCGACCTGCAGGGGTTGCAATTTGGTCAGGAAAACACAAGGACCCAGTATCTATTTGGTACCCTTGTGGTTTCGTCACAACCCTGCCCTCAATTCAGGGGCTCTCGGGGACCATTCCAGTCACTCTCCAATGTGAAAGAGGATTGGCATGCCCCGAGAACTCATAGAGGAACCTCCTATAAGGGCACCTCTTTTCGGGGTTCCACTAACTGACAAACGCATGCCGCGAAAGGAGGTGAGGCCACTTTGGCACGTACATTTCAGGCTTCCAGACTTCCCCCCCTGCCAAGAGGCGAACAGAATGCGTGGATTGGGGAAGGCAGACCCCTTGTCAAAGTTCCTATTCACCTTGGCAAAACGAGGACGACAAAGACAAAGACTTGGGCCCTGGCACAAGCCAGGGGATGAAAAGGCTCACGATGACCCCCACCAAGTTCACACGCGTCCGTGTGGCCATCTGCGTGCGCCCGAAATCGGTCCGCTAAGACTTCGACTTCTCCACGATTCCCAGCCCTAACTGAAAAGATTGTGTTTCTGGTTGGAGACTAGGACTAGATGATGTTCAGCAAGGGAAACCACTAAAATTCAACAACATGCAACGATCTCAATGAATGCAGGCGGACCTCCGTCCTATATTGTATACATCAATCAGAGGGTGGGGATGCTGCAAGTGACTAGTGCGTTTGGGGAGCGTCATTTGCCGACGTGGGTTCTGCAATGTTCACCCGCCTTTTCATCTTTGCCACTATTTACTACTCAACAAGCTCTTCTCAAGTAAGCGTGAGCAACCAGACAAGGTATTGCGGAAAATGAAGACCTGCCTACACAACTAGTCTCATGCCTTTGCCGTGATGTGATCATGTGTGTTCAAACGATCCTCAAGAAAAACAACACCCTCTGCTTTGCATGTCAGCTTGCAAACTGGCAACGTGAGGCTACATGGAAACTCTGACATGTGACAAAACAGGGCAAACATAGCAATTGCGAGCAAAGGAACCTACTCCGAAACTGTGGGAGCCTCCCCAGCGGTTTGTCGATTGCTTCTTCTTTGCATTCTTTGTCCAGGGTGCCCACTCTGCTTTCTTGTCCATGTTAAAAGTTAGCACATCGTCAAAACAAGAAGCAATTTCTGTTCTGTTGAAGTGCTTGATGTTGCTTCGCACTGCACACCAACCAATACTGATATCAAGATCGGCGCTTCACGTGATGTGAAGCGATCCTTGGCATGTTCTACCAAAACAGGAATAACGTTGCGCGAGCTTGTGCCCAGCAAACCTGTGGCAACGGTCTTCATCACTCACTGCAATGGCAATAGATCTCCTGAAAGCGCCACAAAGGCGCCTGGCCTTGGGCGGCCCCATGAGGGGCTTGGACTGGCTGATCTCGTCCTGCGAGCGCCCTAGTGCATCTTGGATTGTTGCTTTTCCAGGTGGAACCTGGAGCAACTTCAATATACTTGAACTAAGGGAGCCATAAAAGAGAGACCTTCATCCTAGGGAAACTTGCTATGATTGCTAAAAACCAATGACGCGATCTCTTTTGCCTCCTGTATTCGTATTGGCTGAAGCAAGCCTACACATGCCCATATTTTCCGCCACCCCCACGAAGTGAGACAAGCCAGTGGGCATGTCAGTTTCATTTTCAAAATACAAAATGCTTCGGCATCCGCGTGTCCAAACGTGATACCTCTTTGGTGTCCCTTCTCAGTCCTGCGCAAAGGCCGCATAAGGATTGCCTGCGCAAAGGCTTCGAATCTTGCCCCCGCCAGTAGTATTATCCTTTCTAACACATACAAACACAACAAGCCCATCGCACCGCAATTGTTTTGCGAGTGTGCTCTGGCTTGAAAAGCCAATGAATTGTCATTCTATTGCAGCTCGCAAAGGCAACTGGAAGCTAAGCGACACTATGACAGCACCCTCGCGATTTCGGTGCTGGCATAATATGAACGTCCTGATCAACTACAGCATCAGCTACCGCACATTCCCAGACTGGAACATGGGCAAGCAAAAGAGCCGCTTGAATTCAATTTCGACAATGCAGTTCCTCATGTAGCTACTCAAATGAAGGTTCTCCACATACACGACCCCCCTTTTTGAAAATTGAAGGCCAGACAAAATGAAACCAACCATCTATAGGGCCTCCTATTTTCAGCACACACCGGATTTCAGGCAGAAACAACCAAGCTGGCGTTGTCTTTCACGTGCCTGGCTGCATACCGTGGTCCTGACAAAGATTCGGCGTGTCATGCGTTGCTCAGAAATGGCAACTAAGAGGAAAATACTTGCCAATGTCCCATGCAATTCCTCGCAAGAGTGCTTTATGTTGCGTAGAATCACACGCAAGTGCCTAGGACGGGCGCTGCACAGCTGGATTTTCTCGCGTCTAGGGAAGCACTCACCATGGCCGAGTCCGACAGGCCAAATTCGATCAGCAACTCTCTGGAAAACAGGATACGTCAAAGGACAAGTCGTGGCACTAGACTCAAACTTAGGCACCCTTCTCTATGTTGGCATCCTGAATTGTTTCTGTAGCGAGAATCATCCCTTTTTCGGCTGACAGAGGGATGGCCCATGCAAAAACCTATTATGCTACTATAGCAACAGCATCTACTGGATCAATCTTCTTCGCATTAGACCCTTAGGCCGTTCCAAGGATGCTGTATCAGTGAGGGGGAAATGGGCGTGCAAGGAGAAGTCTCAACTCGCTGTCCTTGCCGTACATGGAGCGTGCTTGGTTCTTCTAGCCTCAAGCGGAATGCCAGACTCCAGGGACTCCATGCCTGAAATGCTTCCTGATATTTTTTTCCCAGCTTCCAGGACTTGCCTGACTTGCCCACTGGCTTGATATAACATGCCCAGTCTCAGGCCGACACAACTTGGGTCGAAGCCCCACTGCTTCGAATAGGGTTCACTATCTGGGAGGGAAGTGGGCTCGAAAGTTCTGAGCCTGATGGCAGGAAAGCGCGGCACAGCTTCCAAAATGCACATGTGCTTGGTATCCAAGCCAGCAGGCTCGCACGGGGAAGGCGCACCATTTTGTACTGCAAATAGCGGCATGACTTTAAAGTGCTATATACAAGGAGAAGCAACACAGCGCCGTGAACCAACACACCAAACAACATCTCTACACTTACGACGTTTACGATGATCCATAAACAGTTCAACTCACCTCAAGCAATACTTGGCCATCTTCTCAAGGATGAGAGACCTCCGGTCACCTGTATTGTATTTCTTTTTCTTGAGACCTCATCCTTGCTGGCCCATTGACTGCCCCCCTGCTTACTGCTTCACGTGGACGGTGGAGCGGTCCGGGAGGACGTCCAAATGGCAAGAGCCCCGCGCGCGGTGCTCCATCCAGTCCTTTGAAACGCGAAGCCATCCCATGTGTCTTGCAATGACTCCCGTCCGTCTCTTAGGTCACTCGCATCCCAGCGTGGAATACATCTGTGAACCATGCGTTGTAGGAAACACAACAAACTTGCCATGCTGGTTGTGGGGTTGTCTCAAAATCGGACCACTGCGGCTTCCTTTCGCTCCCTTCAAAACAAAGGGGTGGTCTCAAACGCCCACCAACCCTCTGGCTTACTCCACAGACCCTGCGGAAATCAAACGGGAGGGAAGCCACCCACGTCCAGGTACCCGTTTTGGGCATCGGGCTTGAAGCCTGAAAGCCGAAAGCCCAAAGCCCGGCCTCCAGCTGACTCTCGGGGCAAGTACACTGTGCGCGGTAGTACTGATACTTGCAGCGGGTGTCCTGGATGGATTTTGCCCCTGGAGAACAAAAGGACCCCTTAGTGTACAAGTCCCCTTGGACACCTTTTGAAGTGGAAACGAAAGGGAACCTCTTGGTTGAGAAAGTCAGCTTGGGTGGCTCATGCGATTCCCACGACAAAAGCTGTGAAAGGCAAACTCTTAACTCGGACAAATCCCGAATGGGGCTCTTGAGCGCAACGAGTTTGGGCCGCATAAACTTCAGAGCCTGCCCTTTCATCACCAAGGTCACGTGCCATGGAAATGACACAGCCGTCCCGTCCTCCTCCCCCAACTCGCGAGCACAGCGGGTGAAGACTGTGAAGCGCAGGATGCAGTTGTTCGACTGGCCGTGCTTGACGGCCCATGCCATAAAAATAATTGAGGATGAAACAAATCCCGCAAGTAGAGTGAGTTCCAACCCTGCAATACTCAAAACAGACCACCAAACCCCAACCAAGAACACCAACTTCAGAAGTGCTCCGCGGCTCCGCTTGGTTTAGGTCGGAAAGTGGGTAGCGAAAAGGCCAAGCATCTTGCGTCGGAGTTAGCGGAATTCGTGGAGCAAACAAGAGGTCCACTCGAATCCAAGGAATTAGCGCGGTCTTTGGACCGCTATTAGTATATTTATTCAGTATTGTCTACTCGTTTGCCCATTACCTTTCTATTCTATTCATTTGTTTCTATGGTTGCTTAACAGTTGATTTATGAATGACACAACAAGTGAGCATCCAGGCGGGGCTGCAAACACAGACTCAAAGAGAAGTACGTTGATCGCCAAGTATGCATCAATGCCTGCCAAGGCCTGAATAAAAAAACACACAAAAAGTTGCACAGCTCCAAATGTAACAGGTAAAGGCCATGATCTTATACAAGATGAGCCGATCTTCTGCATGTTCAGCAACCAAATCCAACTTGACCCGAAGTGGGAAAATCCAAAAAAACATATCAAAGAAGATCGCACACACATTTCCCAGAACGCGCTAACACGGCTTGAGCAGAATAAGTCCGCAAACGAAGAGACAGGGATGTATGATTTTGCGTGCAACCTGCCCTGGTTCAGAAGCTCAGTAGGCTCGCGCAGGGCAGGCGACGTCCGCTCGGCCCGAGCTTTGACCCGACTTTGCCAGGTGCGAGCTGCGAAATGCGCCGCGACGCAAGTCCACTTGGCCGCAAGATGGACAATGGTTTCAGATGAGCTCAGATGGTGACAAGGGTCGAAGGTCGGAGCGCGAGCCGCACTTGCCCGGGCGGGGACCAGAAGGCGCATGAGAAGATGGACCCTTCAGGGGGAGATGGGAACCGGCCCATTGCTTCAAGGAACTCATGCCATTTGTCTGCCCGAGTTCAAGGCAACAGCTCACATCATACAGCGCCGCTTCTCACGGCCACATCTATACAGAATCACACTTGGCTTAGCAGCAACTTATTCGCACGCAATGACCAAGGACAGAGTCAAAACACAATGAACCTCTCGCATTCAATCCCCGTGGAACGCAAACACATCAAGATTACTCCCTCTATACAAGTGCTATGAGTTAGTTCAAACAGAAAGGCTGGGGAAGGTCACAAACAGTGCCCTACATGAGCCCGCTCCAATAACATAGTACAGCTCCAATTAGTTTGGCAACTCTGGGCACCAACCAAACTGACGTTATACTTCTAATAAACCGTAATGAGAGCTCTAGCAGTTGTGCCATTCCGAGCCAGCATTTTTGCTTTTCAAGAAAGTTGGCCACGGATCTGGTACTATGTCAACATGCCCGCGTCATGCGGCTCTCACGAGCACACACAAATCCGAGCGCAAGCTTGAGAACAGAAAGTGCGTCAAACACCACTTCACTACGCATGACACTGCCTGCGAGGAACCGCTTACTTTTCCCATGCACGAGGCCGACCTCTGTACACCGAATCAAGGCCGATTTGGCTTGATGAATCTTGCTATTGCCTGCACAAGCCTTGCGGCCCAGCTCACGAAGCCTCTCGGATTACGTGAGCCACAGTCAAAATTGACTGTTGCTACCCTGCTGGACGTTGGAAAAACAAAGAGCTCCCGAGTTTTCTGCGGCTCAACTTTTTGAAGTGCCACGTGTCCTGAGCGACTGCTGCAAGCTTTAACAATGATTCTAACAACGAACCTCACGTTTTTCCCGGCGCCAGCCACTGGCAGAGTGTCAAGCGCTCACTGCCCGGAATCTCCCGCAGAGCGGTAGTGCGAGACAGCACCTCCGACCAAGTCTTTTACCAATTGTCAAAGTCATTCCCTGAGCGGTGGTTCAAGGGAAACACCCCCACTTTCTAACTTTGGCAAGCACCAGAGACAGTCAAAAGGATCCCAGGAATAGTTCAGAGTTGACTACAGGCTTCCTAAACGTTGCCTAGAAGGAAACTCACCTCGTGTTTAAGCAAGCTGAGCTTGAGCGACCCCTGAGCCCTCGCCAAACGGCTCGGAAGGACGACGCTGCACGCCTTTGCGCTGGGCAAGAGGATCAGCTGCAGCTCAACGTTCCGTGGCCACGTGCGGGAGCCACGGATTTTCTGCTCCATGGAGCCCACGGTCTCCGTGGAAGACATCTCCAAGACGTCCCACAGCTCCGAAGTGCCGAACTCGAAGATCTGGATAGAGGGCTTGGAAGCCGCTGCCGGCGACGGCGTTGGAGGCTTCCTTTCTTGGGACGTCGGTACAACCCTCCGTTCCCGCAGGGAGGATGTAGCACCAGCGCCCCTCAGGGTGGGACATGATTTGGGTGTCTTTTCCGGAGGGTATCCCTTTCTTGGTAGGTGTTCAAGAAAACCAAAAAGAAACCACCATTTAGGAAGTCCCCGAATTACACAAGACACCCCAATGTATTTCTAGAGCCTCCAACTGCCAAAATCTCAGAGACCATCCCAGCGCCTCCGCAGCACCTCTTCCACTTCCGCCACCTCCGCCCTAGGAAGTGCCGCTTTCACCGCCGCGTCCAGCTGAGGAGCTCGAAGCGCCCGCAGCGCCTTACGTTGGACCGTCAGCGAAGTCATGGCTGATATGTGTATATAATATATATATATATATATACATATGTGATAATGCAATATATATATATATATGTATGTGATACTACAGTATACATATATATATATATATGTTAAACAACACACAACAACAAAAACAGAACACAACACATGCCCTCTCCTAACCCTCATTCCCTGGGTTTGTTAGAACAAGGCCTTGAGGTGGCTGGGATCCTATGATGAAGATAAGCCCCCCGCTCACTTTGTGACCTTGGTTGATATGTTGTTATATTGGCCTGATCCTTTTGACCTACCTTTCGGACTGAGCTTAGGGGTCAAGATTCTCCGCTTGGAAAACCACGCAGGGACTGCTGATTTTCGAGAAGGCTCACACTATGCCATCCGACGCCTCTGGAAGAATATGATCCCTCTCTGCGGCCTCACCCCCGTCACACACCATCATTGCAATTCATACTCCCTTGCAAATTGACGTGGAACCCAACAAAACACCTTTTTTGCAGGCACCAACTTCTGGCAAACTCCCTTTTGGGGCTACATCAAAAAGAAGCCGCGACCCAGATGTTCAACTCACTTGTCTCGCCTTCAGAAAGAGCTCTACCAGCTGGGGGTCATCGCGTTCCAGGCTGCTGGCCAAAAAGACTTGCATGCACTCTCGGAACTTGGCCACGTCGATTCTGGCCCTTGAACGGCGGAGGAGAAAGGAAACACACCTCCCAAATGGCTGTCAAATGGCCCAAGAAAACACCAAAGGAAGTCACCTCCCAACTCTTAGCAGTTTGTCCCTGAAGATCCTGAAGGATATGTTCCCTCCAATTGCCTGTCTCAAAACTCCAGAACCTGGTGAGTGAGAGTCATGGCTACTGGTGCAATCTAGCATTGCGTCGCACAGCCAAGTGCACCTTGGCTTCAGCCGGGAGTCCGTACCGGTCAAGCCCATCACCATAACACAATCATTCCTGATCAATTTCGAGGGTTTCTCAATCCGAGCCTTCATCTTTGCGCACGAGCATGGGGCGCACTTCTGACTTCTGACAGCTAACAAGAGCTTCGAACTTCCACGAGAAATGGTTGCTTGGTGCCCAAAGACTACGCATCCTTCAAGTGTACAGCATCAGTATTCCCTCAAGAGGCATGGGGCCATGGGGTGGCCCTTGCAGACATGGAGCAGGTGTCAAGGCCTCAACCGGGTCTTAGGTCTGACAAAACATTTACTCGACAAGTAGCCATGCTTTGTTGGTTTCCCTGGCAATCAAACAATACACAGTGCTTCCAGTTACCATGGAAGGTAACTAGGTATGGGTACCTTTAGGTTTTGCATCACGGTTTTTCCCAGCTACCTGCTATAGTGGTACCTGGAAAAACTGGGAGATGGTTATGTGGCCAATCCCCTTTTGACTGGAAAAATGAGCATGGATCCGAGGCGCTGCTTGCCGAACAAAGTGTCTGGAGACACTCCAGCCACCAAATGGGAAGTCGCGATCTCAGTGATCTCGCACCTCGGTTGGGCGATCGGCAGGCGACAAAGAAACACACAACTCACGGCCCGAGTCTGGACTAAGAGAGAATAAGCTCTTGCGCATAAATCACACCACGGAAGCTTGCTTTCCACAGATGACACGCCTGGAGAACTTGCTGCCAAAGCACAGCCGGAAACGCAAGAGGTTGTCGTCCAGAAAGGCACTCACAGCTTCCCAGGATGGCAACAAGAACTGCGGCTGCTTCACGTTTGAACGCACCAAACGCAAGGAAGGCCATACGTACCACATCCAATGAGTCAGCTTCTTGCCGGCAAGGATTTCTTTCTTGGCCAGACCTTGCCACAGGCCATCTGCAACCAACCATCTTGCTAGAATTAGTCGTGTTACAATCTCAGCACACACAAATCAAAATCAAGAGCACAACTCGTATTCCGTTTTGCTTCAATGCATCAACACATTTGTGCAGCTGGGATACTGTATGGCGAGAAACTACCAAAGCCTTTGCTCTGAGCATTCCTGATGGCCCCAAGCACAGACGTGATGTCCATCGTCCTTGCCAGCAAAGTCGCAACTGTTCGGCAGTGCGTGGCGCATAAATAGCACAGAAAGAAGCTGCTGGGCAACAACCTGTACCTGTGTGTCCAAATAACATGAAAAATGGTTGCGCCCGAAAAAGGGGGGCGTTGTTCCGGACTGTCTGTAACGAGCACTCTGTTCTGGAAGTTGCTGGGACATCCAAAAGCTTGTCTACCAGCCACTCCGGCCCGCTCTTCAACCTCCAAGCCCCTCCTAGAATCAAATTATTTCTTGAACTGTCGGCTAGCGAAGAGCAGCAAAAACACCTCGGCCACTTCTTCGGCTTGCGCGCTGGGTGCTCTGGAGCTTCCGAATGGAACGGGGTCTGGAATAGGCCATATGTGATCCGGCAAGTTCCAAACCCCTGTCACTTTCTATCCGGTGAGGGGAGGTCCGAGGCTGCATGCGATCCGGACGTCTGGAACGAGTTCTGGATGGCGCGTGCGCATGGGCTTGTTCCAGACCGAATGTGTTTGGACGCTGCCATATATGCATACACTATATAGTATGCAAAGGAATCATCTCTGTGGTTCTGTCACATAACAGCACATCCAAATACAGCACATGCAAATCTTGAATCAATGTTCACGGCTTGCACACTTGCTGGCCCTTTCGAATGAAAAAGCCGGATGCTCGGCGGGACATTTACAGTGTGGTTACATAGCTGTTCATTCGCAAACACAAACACTGTTTCTCAAAAAAAAAATGGCAAACCAAGTTGTTTGTAGACATTGCTATTCACAAGCTCAAGTTGCAACCAGGCAATTCCCCAACATTGAGACTGCTTCATCAGAATGTGCTGGCATCCGACCGGGACGGAGAAGCTCTACCAGAAAACCAGAATGGCTGATGTGTGTTTTGCCAAGCCAGCCAGCCTCCCTTGGCAGATTTCGGACGTCCCCTCCCCCCCCTCCTGCGGGTTGGAACGAGGATAGGGACAGGCGCCACTTCCCCCCCTCCACCCCCAGGAATGTAGGTGTTTGGGTTGCGAACTAAATCGTTGCCAATGTACTCAAACGGCGATTAAACTGGGGTGGGGCGGCCACTAAACCGGAGATCGGGAATGTACATGTGCCAATATGGACATACAAAATTGGAAAGCACTACAAAGAGGGTCCTGTCGTAACCCAAGGATTGCCTTTAAACAGCCGATGCAAATTGCCCTGAAGCAGTCAAGCATCAAGCGCGATGCCATGGCGCCGGCTCAATCTTTCGGTCTTTCGGCACGGGTGGTTGAGGCTGGCAGCTGAAGCAACTGGCTGCTGGGTTACTTTTGTTTCGCTTCAGATTAAAACAAACAGGAGCAAAGGTGTCAAGCCTGGTTCCCCTTGAGGAGTTCATCAGCTCCGTGGCTCCGTGCTTGTAAAGACCCTTTTCCGGTTGGTTTAAAGGAACAAATTGCAAGAGAAACCACTATTTGGGGGGTCTCCTTCCAAAATACGCATGTTCCAAAACATGGTGGCGTGCCTTAAGTACGTCCCCCAACTGGGCACAATCATCCAAGCCCTGACATGCTCGTTCCGCCTCCCCGCATCACCGGCGGGAAACAAAGACTTGCCAACTCCAAATTTCGGGGCACGTACTTGGATTGGTTGGACTAGCCATCTGCACGCTGCTGAGGCCATTCACCTTGCAAAAGCAGCCTGGCTCATCAACATTGGCTTGGTGAGAGTAAAACACAATCAACAGGAACGCACTCTGCTAGAGGAATCCAAACCTGCCACCTGAACAGATCAAGGGCACCATTCCGGGATCAAAACGAGAAAAACACAGACAGTACTTGATTGGCGCTGTGATGTGGTCCAACCGCAGAATCAAGCGACATGCCCAAGCAACCTGCTGCTCGCCACGCCTGGTTGGTGATGGTCAGGAACCTGGGGTCATCCTGCGTGGGTCGCCCAGACTTCTCGTGAAATGCTTGGCGAAGCATCGTAATGGTGCGTGAATCTGTTGCAAGGTGCGATATAGCCGGTGACCATGCCCAGCGACAAGAACAACAAACGGCAACGAGTTTGTGCTTGTTGAGGGTACCCTTTTTGGTGTGGTAAAGGGGCTCCAAAAAGAACAGCTGCCATTTTCAGGGTCCAAATCCCTTGGAGACAACCCCTCGGTCTGGGACACAACACCTTTTCTCCTCACGCGCCAAAGGCCAAAAAACATCCGGGCATGTGCCCAAGTTTGGGCATGGATGCCACTTCCGGGGCTCCCCACTGGCTCGGATTTCTTCTGCATGCGTATGGCGCTTTGCGAGCCCCGAAAAACTGGAGCATACTCGGCAGTCACTAAAATTCACATGAATACCGGAGCATGCCGTGGGATTGTCGGCAAACGGCAGTTCTGCCGCGCCGGGGCAAGAGCGCAGCCTGGCGGCGCGGAAAACCCGACGCCGGCTACCCTCAGAGGCATCGAGCCAAACAGTAAACAGGTAGGTGTTTTTCAGAAGGGTAACTTTGCGGGTGTGTGTTTCACCAATGGGAGCTCCTGCATTTAGAGACAACCCCGTGTCTGAGCCGCCAACGGGCATCCAGCACGCACGAAGTGGATAAGGTGATAATTCTCCAAGCTTGCCAACATGCACACGTACCAACTCGAGGGAAGGTGCAAGTCTGCCCCTTCGCGCAAGTGCCTTGCCAACCTCGAGGTGGTCTCAGACCTCAGATTCGCGACTGCAATTGATCCTCTCGCGATTGGGTGCCAGGCATCCATGTATCCATTCCCCGTTGTATTCACTTACATATTAATGGATCTGCTCATGCTGGTGGCACACAAGAGGCTGCTTCGATACCATCTTGGAAGCTTGGCTCCAATAGCCATGAAATAGCTGGTGTCTTTGTGAGAATCGGCTGCCCCAAACTTCAAAAGGCATCCGATGGAAATGCCGATCCAGAAAACACCTGCACACAGAGACTTGCCCGCTTGCGCGCTTGAAGGAAGGTCCAGGATTAATAAACTCGTGGTTGGTTGATAGGGGGGTCCATTTAAGAGGAGGTCCTTCACCTTAAAAACTGATGGTAACCCCCAGATACCGCAATTCCCTGGGATAAAACAATGCGGCATCCGGATGCGAAAAAGCTGATGGCCGGAGTGGAAGCTACGATCCTCTTACAAGTATCAAACAGCTCGGTTCTTTGGACAGAATTTATCCCAAGCAAACGAGAATTTGCCTTGGCAGCTGCGAGAGAATGAAGAAAGTGGTGGAAAAAACCCTTCTTGACTCTGTCATTGGCGGGTGTCAAAAGGTAAATTGGCGGACTTCATTTGGTCTTTGCTCCCTAAAAAATAGCCCAACCGATGCACATACAGCGAACTGTGCCCTCATTTGGTCGCGGGTGTGTAAGAACAAGCTTGAATGTTTGGCCCTTTCTAAACTGATTTGCAAAAAAGCAACTCGCAAATTCTACACTTGCCCAACCCACCAGGCAAAGAGATGGATAAACCCTGAACGTCCCTGATGTCGTTCTTCAGGGTACCCTTTTCTGTGGGCTGGTTTGTGGAAGCACCAAAGAAGCCGCCCATCTGGAGGTGTTTTCGCAGCTCCCTTTTCACCCTGGTGTAAAGGGAAACCAACAGGCAAACCACCCCATCCGTTTGCTTAAGTCCTTCGGACAAGTAAGCATATGTCCAGTAATGATAGATTCCCTTAAAGCCAACAGGGGGAAAGAAAACCCATTCTTAAGCAAAATGGCAGTTTTTGGGGTCGCCCCATGGCACATAAGCCCTTTCACGGGCGACGAGGAGCCATGGTGGCCAGCCCGAAGGCCCTGTCGGAGAAGTAGCGGCTGATCTCTTCTTCGATGACTCTTGGGGGCCTGGCGGGTCGGAAGCCCAACCCGACCAACCAAACCAAACCAAACCAAACCACAGCAGCTCAAACCAACGCAAACCAACCAACTGGCAACCCAGCCTAAACTACACAAGCCAGGAGGGTCTTGGATGGAGAGGTTGAGCTTTGTGCCAGGGGAGCCGGATTTTGCTTTGCTATGCTCATTACACGAAATAACACATCGCCCTGCCCTTCCAGGAACAAGTTTAGCTTCGCCTCCCGAAGAGGTTAACAGTTAACTCTGTTGAGACTAGTTTATTTTTTGTCTTGTGCCATACCTGCGACCCAATGGCATATTGAATTCTGAAATGGTGGATGGGATGATGGGATCTAAAATGACCTGGTTAAGATCGTTGCCTTCAATCCCGTGAAGCGAGCGCACAGACGTTGCACCTCCCTAAAACCGTGAAAAGAGGGTGAACTCGCAATTTCATGATCCACACCTTCACTTTGCACAACATTGTAAATGCAGTCTTTCATTGTCCGAGCCCTTGCTCTCTCGTAGAGTGATAGCAAGCCAAACCACAACACGTATTTCATTGACAACGGAACCAAGTAAGACTCTGATCCTGCAAAGTATGTGACCGAGTTTCGCGTGAACCCAAGGTTCCCTCGTACATATTTGCACAAGGCATCTACCACCGTCCTTGAATGAGCATTCCGCGGTTTTGGAGCACAAACGCAATTAGCCCTGCACACGCACATATTGGAAAAGTGAACCGTGAATAAGCAAGAGAAGGCGTGAATCCGAAGACAAGTCTACCTTGGCGTTCATATGAAGGTCAAGATAATCTTCGCCTAAGTGCTCCGAATTAACATTACATCAAGTCAGCATGCTCAATATCCATGGAACACAACACACAATGATTAGCAAGGTCTGGGTGTTTGTTTGGGAACTGCTGTGATTGCCGCTGATCTTGTGCTGTGAGCGCCAAGATTCATTTGGAGATTTGAAGGTCTAATTAAATGCCATCCTAGAGTATGGCAGTAAATACTATTTTACTCTGAAGGCTTTTGGTCGACAAATCTGGGCCCCGTGTCGGGCAAGATGAAAGTGAACTCCAAATGCAACTGCGTGATTGCCCACTTGCAGCTGGTGCTGCAGTTTCTGGCAAAATCCAACAATGCAAACAGCATAGTACAAGGGGGTTGTAGGGGCTGAAGGGCATTAGCTGACCGCAAGTTCAGCTCAGCATTCTGCAAGTGAACACCATACAGTAAATTGTCTTCCAATGCGCAATGCTGTTCTAATCCATGATCTGGAACTTTCTGACAAACACAGATGGCAAAGCTTGGGAAATGCACTCCCAAGTCGTTTGATATATTTCAGAAACAAACACACGTGATTGCAACCTGGAAGGATCTTTCCCCAAGCCAGCTCCCAATGTCTCTCAAGCAATGATATTAGGTGAAGGAACAAATGTGGCATCGCTTTATCCCTTGGTCGGGTGACCGAGTCGGGTGCGCCTCTCGTCTCCAGGGTAGACTTCCACGTCTCCAACCACCGCGCTATCCCTTGGCTAACCCATGTGGCTTGTTTGGGGGAAACCACTCAAACGGATGACTTTCTTCAGTGTCCTTTCAATCAATTCACAAAAGGGTACCATCAAGAGAACCCTCTCGCATATTGGCTGCATAGTTGTGCGGTGGTTAGTTTGTTAGTTTGCTTGCTTGTTTTTGCTTGATTTTAGTGTGTGTGTGCGTGTGCATGTGCATGTGCATGTGCATGTGCATGTGCATGTGCATGTGCATGTGCATGTGCGTGTGCGTGTGCGTGTGCGTGTGCGTGTGCGTGTGCGTGTGCGTGTGCGTGTGCGTGTGCGTGTGCGTGTGCGTGTGCGTGTGCGTGTGCGTGTGCGTGTGCGTGTGCGTGTGCGTGTGCGTGTGCGTGTGCGTGTGCGTGTGCGTGTGCGTGTGCGTGTGCGTGTGCGTGTGCGTGTGCGTGTGCGTGTGCGTGTGCGTGTGCGTGTGCGTGTGCGTGTGCGTGTGCGTGTGGGTGTGTGTGTGTGTGTTTGTGCGTTTGTGCGTGTGCGTGTGCGTGCGTGTGCGTGTGCGTGTGCGTGTGCGTGTGCGTGTGCGTGTGCGTGTGCGTGTGCGTGTGCGTGTGCGTGTGCGGGTGCGGGTGCGGGTGCGGGTGCG